TCCCAGTATTGAAAAAAAAAAAATCAAAACAGGTCATGCTAATAGCAACCATATAGACCTGAACGTGTCAGGAAACCAAGTCCTGTGAAGTGGGCCCTCATACCGTACCACAGTGCAGCTAGAAAGCAACAGCAAACACACGCTTGGAATACAGTTTCTTTCTTTCTCTTATTTCCTATTACCCTGCATTTCACATTTTATATACGTATTAACTTTTCTTTTTTTTTAACTTTTCATTTTAATTTATAACATGAAATGTGAAGTTCAAGCTTGTGTATCTGATTTACTTCACTAAAAATTATGGTCTCAAGGTTCACCTGTGTTCCCACAAATGCCTCAAGGTCATCTTTCTTTGGGGCAGAGAAGTGTTTCATCGTGTAGAAATGCCCCATTTTCTTCATCCGTGTGTCTGTTGATGAGCATATAAGCTGCTCCTAAGCTTTAGCTCTTACGAATTGTGCTGCTAAAAACATGTGTATACACACCTACCCCCAACCAATGCCTACTGTGTGTGTGTGTGTGTGTGTGTGTGTGCGTGCGTGTGTTTTTTTGAGACAGGGTTTTTACTGTGCACTTCAGGCTGGCCTTGAATGCATTTTATAGCCCAGGCTGCCCTCAGACTTGCAGTGATCCTCCTGCCTCACCTCTGAGTGCTGGGATTACAGACGTGATCCGTAATCGGAACGCCATGCTTGATCCTGAGACATACTCTAAACACTGAGGTGTGGGCATTTCCTAGCCCCATATCAACAAAACACACCAAAACATCTCTTAGGATGAGTCATTGGAACAGATATTTTTAATAGATTCTTGCTAATTTCATCTCCAAAGGAGTCTGTTTCTAAGCAAACCCTTTTATATACTTGTTAGGTCTTTCAGCAGCGAGAAGTAAAAGAAAAGGACGGAAAAGGTCTTTATTGCCACTGAGCAGGGCAGGGAGAGATCTGAGGGCATGGAAATGGCGGATCCTGTGACCTGCGACAGGGAGGCTGAGACTTCAGGGACCTGCGCTAGGGGCGGAGCTTGAGGGGCGGGTTCAGCGACACACAAGGAGCTCACTGGGGGCTCCCTTGTGTGGGCGGGAAAGCTAAAAGGAAGTTGTATCCAGGGCTGGAGTGGGGAAGGAGGAGGAAGTGGCCCCTGGAAAGATAAGCTGTTGTTTGGGATTCAGCCATGTTGGATCAGGGCCATGATAATTTAGCAGTTTATACTCAGGCTGGAACCTATCAATGCTGATTGACAACCGCCCAGTTTGTCTGAGGGAGTTAAGGGGTCTAGGGTCATAAAAATTCTGTTTATGTGTCACCAGGGCAGGCTTAAGCCACCTTTATTTCATAGACGGGCCACAGTAATGAGCAGAAGAGTGAGGGGTGACTTTTAGTGCACACTCACTGGGTGCCCAGTTGCTATCGAAGAACTCCCACTGAGTGTCCCCCAATTGACAAATGAAGAAACCGAGGCACAGGAGAAGAGAAATAGGTGCTATCTGACTCTGAAGCCAGTCTAAATCAACTGACAGGACTACCTCTAGAAAGGGGCAGAAGGTCAGAAATTACACAGGGATGGCCTGAGTCATGCAGCCACCTGAGAAGAGGTGAGTAACTACCTGCGGCAGAGTAAAACCTCCTGAGGATTCTGAAACCAGGAGGGCAGGAGGCCACTGCAGTGACCGCTTAACATCTGACACCCTAGTGATGGGCCAGTGGGCTATCTCTGTTTTCTTCTTGCAACATTTCTGAGTCCCAAATTATGCCACAATAAAAAAGTTAAAGAAAAATGAACAAATTAGAATATTAGTAGATGACCTGGAGGGATTTCTGCAGAAATCAAGCATTCACAACAAGATCCAGAAAAATGTGGGTAGAGCAATTTCATTTTCGTTTTGAATAAACAGTGACATAATCTACCCCCTTACAACCTCACATATCCTTATATGGGGATGGAATTACATATGTACACGTTGCTAAAAAAAAAAAAATCCTGGAGCCCAGTCTCCAGAGATTCTACTTGAATTGTCACAGGGTAGGACTTGAGCTTAGGTGCCTTCCTTTAAAATTCCCTGCATTAGGGTTCTTACCTTTGCTAATTTCATCTCAAAAGGAGTCTGTCTCTTTTTACATGACAGTCTCTTGGGACACCTTTAAGAAGTCCTGAAGGCCAGGCCACAGTCCAGACCAACTAAATCAAACCTGCTGGCAGGGGCCCAGAATGTATGTCTTAAAACTCTTCAAGGACAAGGAGACAGCTCAGTGATCTAAGCACCTGCCTGGGAAGCACAAGGACCTGGGTTTGATCCCTGGTACCACATGCCAAGCCAGCCCCACACTGAGCCAGCCACTGAAACTGGACTGGTGGCGCAGGCCTATAATCCCAGCGCTGGGGAGGCTGAGACATGAGGATCACTACGAGTCCGAGCTGCGTAGCGAGACCCTGTACCAAATAAATAAATCTAAAAAATAAATAAAAACTCTTCAAGAAGCTTCCAAGATGCAGCCAAGTCCAAGGATCAAACAAAGTCCTCCAGGCAGCCAGGAATGAGAATTGCTGCTGGGAAGGACGGGAATGCCTTGTAGACAGACCACTTGCAAATCACGGGTGCTGTCAATCCCTGAGATAGTCTGGGAGTTTGGAACTCTGCGAAAACAGAGACTGGCTCCAGAGATCAAATAACCTGCTAAAGATTACAGAGCAATATACATACACTCCCAGCCACGGCTTCTCTAGACCACTGGGGTGAAAGTCTTTTACCAGATTTATTCCTTTAGATTCTTACTCCTAGGAGTTAGTAAAAGCAATGCTCAAAGACTTGGGCTCACGCTGAAGCATTAAAACAAACAAACAAACAAACAAACAAACAAAAAAACCCTCAAGACCCCAAAACAAAAAGCAGCAGCAAATATTCCCAGGAGGAGCGTTGTACCAAGAGATCTTAACATCCACCCAGAAAATGCTTGACGTTTTGGAGGAAGGGAAAGTTTGGAAGACACTTCGACGAGCAAAAGGAATATAATGCATGGACTGTAAATCTGACCTCCTCCTCATCCCCTTCCCCAAAATCCCCCCAGTTCTTATTCAAAAGGCCAAGAGTCTGTCCCACCTCTGGGCCTTTCCTGTCTTGGGAACTTTCCCAGAGACCCTCTCAACAAGCTTTTAGATGTTTTGCTTTCCAGTAAGAGAGAAAGGCCTGGTTCTCAGATCTGAGGCCATAAGAGAGGTGTGCTTTGGTAAACACTAAAAAGTTAGGGTGTTCAGGGCATGTGGCAGGAAAGCTGAATTTAGTGTCTTTGTGGCTAGGGCAGGGATCTCTAATCCCAAGAGTCTGGGAGCAGAGACCTAGGGCAGGAGTTAGAAAAAGCAGGCTTGGAGTCCTCCTACCAGCGAAACAGGGCTGGAATGCCAACTTCCTTCAATTATACTTGACATGAGTAGAAACATTACAGGCTTACAAGGGAACTCAGGTGCCTCCCTAGATGGAGCCTTGGCCTGGTCTCTACTTCTGTTACTAAATTTTGAGGGCTTATTTTTCACATGCCTGATACTACTTTAAGTTTTCCACACAGCAGAAGCCCCTGCACTGCTTGGAAAAGCCAATCAAGTAGATGTCTCTCCAGCATCCCCCTTCACCGATGCCCAGAGGGTTAGGTAACTTAGCCAACGCGGGCCATGTACTTACTAGGTTGTAAACAGTGTGAACCAGGCCAACTGGCTCTACAAGCAGCTGTCAGAGTACCCATAATAGTACCCATAGCATTAAAATTATAAGGATGAGTGAGCGCTAACCATGTGCCAGGCACTGTTAGTGGCAACTGACACAGGGAGGACAAGGCCTTTGAAACTGAAGGTCTTGGGACGGGATCCAGCAAGGTCGCTGCGATCAGTTACTTCCGGCCCCAGTTACTTCCAGAAGGTAACTCAACGATGTGGGGGAGATGCGTGGGGAATGTGTGTGTGTGGGGGTGGGGTGGGGGGGGGGGGTGGGGTGGGGGGTGGGGTAAGATCCTCAACTCCATGTATCGCTTGGATCCAGGCATCGTTCTCAGCCAGGTGCCTTCCTACTACCCCGACTATCCGACACAAATTTGTACATTTTGCAAACGGTTTCTTTTGCCCCTTCCCCCACTTCCTTTTCCTGTTATATTTGCGTTTCAAATTTGGGGTCAAAGTCCAATTAGATGTTTTGTTTCAAGGTCTTTTTTTTGAAAAAGGTTGCTCATTTACCCCCCCCCCATGCCCAGTTGACCTGAATCTGAAGGAGAGCTCCTGCGTACAGGGTCAGGCCGTGGAGTGGGGAGCAGGACTCCCCAAGCCCCACCAAGGTACTTCGTGCAGTCAGGTCCCATCTCCGGGGTGCAGGGGTGAGATCCCCTTGCGGTTACAAAACAACCTACGCCCTCAGCCAGCCGAAAAAACAGTCCTGCAGGTCTCAGGCAGCCAGCAGACTCCACAGACTGCGGAGCAAGAGCTAGGAACTCCACGCACGCCGTGCCACTCATTTAGATCAATCACTTCCCTAGCATCTCGCAACTTTATCGAACTCAGCGGCCCACTGCAGGCTGCGCCGCCCCCGAGCTCTCCTTAATTACGTCTCTGGCTATTTACAGTCGCGACTCGGCGTTGCAGGCCTGACATCACCGCACGGGCTTCCCAGGAGGCTGCAGCAGCAGAAGCGGCTTTCCCGCCCCGCGGAGCGCTCACTCTGAGCGCGCGGCGCGCAGGTCCCCGGGAGTGGCTGTGCAGCCTCCGTCGCGTCCCGGGCACTGCAGCCGCGGAGGGCGCTCGCCGGGCGGCGCTGACCGGTGCTCTCCGCGCGGCGGCCAGCAGCCAGGGAGGAGGGGTGCTCGGCGAGAGGGGCCCCGCCCGG